ATCACTCTCAAATATCTCGTGTTTTAAGAACTTTCTTTCTTTATAATATCCTGTTCTAATTGTTGGTAGAAGGTTCGTTTTGGTATGGTATGGTAGCAATAATTCCTGGAACAAAAACTTTTATTTGAGAATATGCCACTTGAATTGATTCAGTTGATGAAAAGTATTGTGTAAATATTTCATTTAAATAGTACGGTAGTAGTAGAACACTAAATATACAATTATGTTTACTAGAAGTTACACGCTCACGCAAGGCATTAAGTACATTCCTTTAAATTATCTGACGTGACTAGGTTGCACTAGCCGTAGTTGCAAGCTGATTCAAACAAAATTAGTACAGGAACTGTCACATCATCAGATCAACAGCCTTTAGTAGTCTACTTCTTAGAAAAGAGGTTTTGGCTTACCATACCATGCTGTCCAGACCGGTTGGTATAGGGTTTGTCTCATTTTTTTCCTTCTCTTTTTAGTGCTTTTGTCCTGCGTAGTTGCTGCACAGGATGAATAGGGGTGGTGATGCTCCGTATTCTTAATCTGTTACCACACGGAAGTGAAGTTAAGGGCAGCGTTATACTATACAGAGTATAAAATAGAATCAGCGTAATGCCTAAACCTTTCAACTTACGTAAGTTAGTTAGATATATATTTAGGGTCTTAGTGTAGATAAACCAATAAAGATATTGGTTTAATGTGCAGTATCAATTAGAGTCCACTCCAAAATCAAGCATTTAACTTGGTTCAAATCACATGACGCTTATTATTTCCCTATTATTTACAAACTATAATAAAGAAAGATTCCAACACATTTTTTTTAAACAACACTAAGGATTTATGTAAAAAAAAATAAGAAAAACGCAGTGTCAAAAACTTCCACAACTAACTACCTAATTTGATTGCTAGACTCCCACGGACAATATCTCTGAAGTAAGTGATGCGACAAATTAAGAAACAGCCTGAGAGAACGTACTTCAAATAATAAAAAGTAATGATTAAGAAGAAGTACCATCCATGTTTATGATTAAATTTAGTTAAAAGTGTTTTACATTGTAATGTATATTACTTATAAATAGTATTTTTGCACTTATGTTTTTAATTTCATGTAGCTTATATTTTGTTTCATTGCTTTTAATAATTAAATTTGTAGCCCGTAATGAACATTCTTAGAAATTATAAGTCACCCTATCTTCATTTCTATGATAAATATCTCTAATAGCGGTTCAAGCTTCACAAATTGTCACGCTAGCCTAAGCTATTACATTTATACTAATTACAGCTATTATCACATAACATTAACAGTACAATACAATGGTTTTACGTACGTTTTAAGAAGGAATATATTAATTAGTTTCATAGCGGCAACTATAATTTATATTTGGAACGTTTGCCTTAGGCGCGAGGATAAGAATGTGATGATTTTCGTCTGAATTGATAATATTACATTTATATTTTCGTTATGAGATGTTTTTCACATGCGAAATAAATATAACGTTATATGATATATAAAAGACGTGATTATATTTCGTTCTCGTTTCGTACTCGTCATATTCTTCTTAATTCAGTGGGCTACGTATCGGTAGGCATGTTTTAAATGTGATATTAGATGAAAGAAATTACTTAAAGTTTTTATTTTTTTTTCTGAGAGAATTGCGGCTACCTAAATATATACTGAAATAACGCACATTATAGTTTTCAAAAAGCAATTTTGGTAAAGATTCTTAGAACATGGACAGAAAATGAGCTAGCACCTTGTTATTAATATAATGGAATAAATTATATATATTAAAAAAAATAAGGAAGAACAAAAAGAAAAAATACCATCAATATGTCTCATGCAATGATTTTATTATTATTTAATGCTTTATGCCCAAAAAAATAATATTAAGGTATAGGTACTTAATGTGAGAGGCATTCATTGCCGTCTACCTTGGGGTGGTGCTGAAATGAGTGATTTGGTGCACTATAGTATATTAAAAAATTCCGAATTGAATATAACAAGACTTGACCAAGAAATACTTTTACACGAAAGGCAAACTGTCTGTGTTCTTACATACATACCAACGTTTTTGTTTTTATTTTCCTTTTTTAATATTTTCATAAATATGGTTCTGAGATAATATTTAACTATACTACACTCTGCTATAAAAGCTAAATGGATGCTATAAGCTAATCAAGGAAACTAAATTTTCCCCGTGTAAATGTGTATACATTCATACTTACACCTGTTTACTCGCACGCAATCAATCGTTTACACTGATACTATTATATAGATAACAATTTTATTATAATGACGATATCCAATGTACTGTTATTTGTATTTATATCAAATTGATTAATCATTAATATATAACTAAATACACTTATTACATTACTTTCTTATTTTATTACATAACTTTATGCATTCTTGTACATCGGCGAACTCAATAGGCATTGAGTTCGCCGATCTACAAAAGGGCATTCTCTTTCAGTCAACCTTTGGTAGATGTAGTAATCATATTTTTATTGCGAATCCGTAAACTGTTAAAACTTGATATAGTTAATTAGCAGTTAGTAATAAGTTTATTTTATGGAAATTTACTATGTCTGTAGTCGTGTGCTTGATATTTAATCCTTTAATTGCCGCCATAAACCATTTACTGCAGACCTCTTGGTTCAGTATACTAAACTTAAGTTAAGTTAATCGTAAAACAGATTTTGGTCATTTATGACGATCTTATTATTACTTAGTATTTACGAAGAAAAATTCTTGCTCTCAAAAAAAAACGGGCAGGGATCTGGAACGCATCAATTTCTCTGAGTTGACGTTGGGTGACATGGGGTCTTTTTTATTTTCTTACAAGTTTTCTCCTTATAGCTATTCGTTTCCATACCATAAAAAAATTTAAAATATTCTCGCCTTATCAAAATATAAAAAAAGAAGTAATAATCATTCCATAGAATAATCATTTTCTTTGTATGGACACTTCCGGATGTTATACATAGGTGGTCCAACTCCTACAATCAATTAATTTATAACCAATTAATTTCGTTGTGGGTTCCAAGATGGTTTAATTTTTCCCTAAGACTTTAACAGTATCATTACTCGGTGTGTTCGTGGTTCACTGCTGTTGATCCTGGTGTACAGGAGTTACAGTGGTGGGCGTGTGAGAGGGATTGGTCTCATCATTGGTATAGTTAAAGACAGTCTTGTAGAGGAAGGTACCAGCTTTGGCCCTAATCATAATAATGTGTGTTCAATACATGAAATACATACATTGGTGTATACACTCATAATGTTTAATCATAAGCATTTTACCAACTCTAATTCTAGTACCAGTTACGAAATAGGAGGCAAGACTTTTACTGTTAATAGGACTGGACTCTTTAGGAATTTCATGGAAAAATTGTAGTGTGTTAAAAAAACCGACTTATCTCTCTGTTAAAAATCTTTATATAATAAAAAATGACGACTTTGTTGATCCAAATTACTGGAAATTTTATTTTGTTAAAAATCTATTTTTTTAAATTGATTCAATTTAATTACCAGTCCGTCAGGTAACGAATTAAGAATATAGAGTGTAACCACCCTTATTTATCCTGTGGATGTCGTAAGAGTCGACTAAGGGCGCAAACTATGCAGGACAACACTAATGCAAAGAGAAGGAAAACTTGACCAAAACCCTATACCAACCTGTCTGGCAAGCGTGATATAGTAGGCAAAACCTCCTTGCTAAGATGAGGTCTACGTTCAGCAGTGGACTTTTAAAGGTTGTGAATGTAATTTGATGTGAATTTCTATATTTATTTGTAAATTTTTAACCTAGATTAAATATTTTCATTAAATGGATTTAAAAATGGATAGTACATTACATTTATCACGTGTAAGGGATTCGAGCCTTATAGACGGCTTTGAATATCATTTTGTTGCTAAAATCCCTGTTTCCTTCACACACGATTAACCAGCTCCCGATCCCAACAATGACCCATATCATTTACGTGTTATACAAACACACAATTACTAGCATAGTTTCTTTGTACCTCAACGGCTATTTACCGTAGTATCTGGGTTATCGAGCTCTTTGCTATACAATACGACGTCAGACTGTCCCTCCCTTCCGACCTCGCATACCTTTGTATTGATATATAAACAGGCCGTACATTGAATATTATGTTGAGACACAATTTGCATAAAGCAATTTATACCGGTATTGTATAGGTTACGATTAATATCAGTCGTTAAAGATTTATTTGAGAACATTCATTGTCATATTTCTATGTGAACGTAATGTGCATCATTATTTATTTTCGAAAATTTTGATATTTTTCGCCGCTGTCTCACACTATATCGCGGTTTGACATGATCCTGTAGGAAATAGATCAGACGTGTACCTAAGCTTCCTGGACATGAATTTTGTTAAGAAGGAAAAAAAAAAACAATTTTGTAAATTGTCATGACAAGGCATGTCAAAATATTATAATAGGTTCATTTTAAGAATAAAGTTAGTTATAGTTAAATTTTAGTCGCTTTGAATTCGGTATAACATTTTTATCATGCCCTTGATGCGATCTCTGGGGAGCTCTTCACAAAAAGTAGTATATCCGACGGGCTTTTCTTGGTAAGATATTCAATGTACACATTTTCACATTAGTAATACTTTATTACTAAAACACAGAGATGGAAATCACAATCATTAATAATTTATAAAATACTTTTAGGTATTCCTTTACTATAATCTATAAAAATAAGTGACAAAAAAGTGCCAACAAAAACCAAATCAACGGAAAGTTTATATGATGTGAGATTAGTTGTTTAGAAGTATAGACGGTGCAGATAAGAAAACTGTTGTATCTAAGAAATTAATTTAATATAAAAATAACGATATACTTTTTTTGTTTCAGGATTTAAAAAAAAACTCACTTAAACATAAAACAATGCGAAGAAAAGGTGTATCTCGAACTTCGTGAACAATAAAAAAGTGACTGAAATCATTAGTATGAGGTGATAAGTGCCAAATAATACAAAGATGGCGATGGTCATATCCCAAACGACAAAAGCTGCCATAGGAGGTTTCCTTGCACTGATGATTCTCGGTGCGGTACTCGTTGTAGGAGCCGCTTTTGGCTGGTTCGACCCTAAGAGAGAAGATGAGGATACTCCTGCGAAAGTCAGCGCAAGACTTCAAGGCAGAACATCTTTTGTAACACACCGTGCTGTGAGTATTACTTATCTTAATTAGCTTCTAATCCATTAAAGATTAGCGTTAAATTAGAAAACTTTATGAGCATCGAATAAAAAATTTAATTACTTGAAATTATAAGTAGTAAGCCAGGTTTTATTTGCTATTAACGCTTGGGGGATCGATACATTAATGACGTTTGACTTAACATGTAACAATAACATAGTCCCTCTGGTTACATAACTGCTCTCCTCGTAAAGGTTTTTGAAAGTTTACCTAAAGTCTATCAAGATAACCCACGCTTGTATAATCAAATACTTAAATACTTTTAAAACATTCGGGTAGAAGTGCTAAGTATCTTTAAGTATCGCAGCAAGTTTATAGCGGTGATATAAACACAGCGGTAGACAGTTGTAAGAAAACTATCCTTACTGGGCAATCTTAAAAAAAAGATAGTAACTGTAGGTCACCTAATTGATCATGTTAGTGTGAAAGTTTGAGTCGGTACTGCACTCTCTCTCTCACGTCACTAATGGGTTCGATCCCATCCAGTTATTGGTAATTATTTAATTACTTTAATGAGAACGGTTACACCAACCATTCAAGACATATATATTTCAATACAAAAAAAAACACAAATTAAGACAAAGATTAATAGAAATCAAACCAGTGTTAATCCGTCCTGCTCACAGAATCGCAATCATAATAACATTATATTCGGTCCTATAGTACTAGATTATAGTAAAATAATTAAATTCATATATTTTCATCATACATATCGTATTTTCCTACTGATATTAGTATTATTATTAAAACAAAACCAAATCAAATGTGCTAAGACTCTAAAAAACCTCCTGACAATTTCTTCGGTTCGTTTTTCTTCTTCTTTTCCATTGTGAAATCTAAATTCCTTAGAATTTTATGTTCCAAACTTTTTGATTGTATCAATCTCAAGTCTAAAAAATTAAAAAGTTTGCGCAGTTTATAACTAATAAGGCTTTAAAGTAAAACTTGGAACTATAAAGACTCTTAAACAGTGTAAAGAGAATGCCGAAATAAAAGGAGTTTATTTAAAAAGAATGCTAATGCAAGTCTATTTCCACAATTTAATTTCTATTGGATTGCACCTGCACATCGTTATTTTAGTTTCAAACTCATTTAAACCTCATATTTCATACAATTTACGCTGCACTTATCTAAAAACTTGTCTAATTATCCCACTTTATCATACAAAGTAAAATGCAGTTAGAGTCGACCACTGTTGGACAGTGCAGAACCTCAATTATCTATATTATTAATAAAACCAAATATCCATTCATCATCAACACCTTCCAGACATGGCATTCAAGTACGGAATACATATATTTTTTTAAATTAGAATATGAACGAAATATATTTTTTTTAAATATTTTTAATTGAATAATGATATAGTTGGACATCTAACGTACAACCACATCTAGTTTCAAACTAAGCAGAACTTGTACTATGAAAGCTACATTGCCAGATAAAATAATGAAATACTTTTTTTTAATACCTGTATATTATACATAGAAAACACACAATCTCCGAAAAAAATATTTGCAGATCATACAAACATTTGGTCCGACCCGAGAATCGAACCCGACACCTCAGCACAGCAGTCGCATACACTACCACTGCACCGCCGAGGCAGTTAATATATATATATATATATATATATATATATATATATATATATATATATATATATATATATATATATATATATATATATATATATATATATATATATATATATATATATATATATATATATATATATTGCGTACGCTTTAAAAACTTTATCTTAATAATAAGATTCTATGATAATCCTAGTTATGATATGTATATACCCGCGGCTTCGCTAGCGTAACTTTGAAAATGGTGAACTTTCAAACAACCATTCATTTCCGATTGGGGTGGGTACACGGAAATTTCTAAAAACCCTTTCTTGGTAGGTGTTTACCACGTGCTTACAAAATGAAATTTCACAAAAACGAAAAATTATTATTAATAGAAAACCGCCTTTTTTTAATGTAAGACGAGCAGACGGATCATCTGATGGCAAGTGACCACTGCCGGTCATGAACGCCTACAACTCGGTAGTCACAAGCGCACTGCCAGCCTTTTAACATAGCAAGCCGTACTTTGTTATGTAAATAATTTTTAATTCCTACGTTTTCGACTTCATATTAATGTTCTACATCCTATCAAAAAATTCAAATCGTACATTTTACCTATATCAAATTAATACTAGAAGAAGTATTTCAAGTTGAAAAATATTGCCTAAACATTAGCTCGCTAAACACAAAGATACGACATAACGTTGGTGGGATTACAAAGACTTGACGGATGCGAGTCATTTTAAAACGAAACCCTCAAAAGCCTCTACAGCAATGTTGGAACATACCACAGATTTTTTGTAACAAAAGTTTCTCCACTTAAATGCCTGTGTTTTATGAAAAGGTTGCCTTTTTGCGTAGCTGTCATGTCATTGTTTTAAGGGAAATCTTGGCATGTGCGTGTTGCTGTTTTTCTTATGAAATACAAATTTTTCAAATGTTCCTATAAATTATGTAACTTACGTTGCAACTTCATATTAAATGGATTTATCTTTTAGATAATAATAATAGTATTCGTCTATTGATAATTGGCATAGGCCTTTAAAATTGACTGGCTCTCTTTGATTTGAGTAAAAAATATCGTTAAATTAGAAAGATTGTGAACTTTTATACTACTGATCCTCAACCTCAACGTTTTTTAATCAGTTCACCCATTAAAAATTACACCATTTTGGACAATACTATTATTGATATCATTTTGGACAACAGTGTAGAATCAATAAAAAATATTCGCTCCTGGTTACGTAAATCGACTCAGAAGCCACAGATCAGGGATTTTTTCAGTAGATTAGACTTGGCTTATTCTACAATTTGGAATATTTTTATTAGCGCGAATGGACACACTTGTATTTAGAACCGCTGTAATACAGTCGATCTATTTTAGAATATACATTTCATTCATTGATTTTAGCTTGCTGTAATCATACACTAAGCAAATTAACATTTGAAGGAATTCTTTTTGGAAAACATGGCCTATTCGTCTTTGTAAGTAATCCCTCTTCCTCTCCTTGCCTGACTCGGAGTTCACTTCACCGTTCTGCGCCCGTACGCTTAGATTTTATAATTATTTTAAAAGTACCTACAAAATGACGCATGTATTTTATTGTATGGTGTTAATTCTTATCAACCTCGCTTGATGTAGCATCTGTTGTATTTTTACAAATCTCAGTGGTTTTCAAATGCACTATTATAATCAATAATTGTAAATTGCTTTGTAATATGTAAAATAAATAAATAAAAAAAACCAACGTAAACAACCAAGTAAATAAATAAATAAAGTTGGTTGTTTAACCTTCATTTAGGGATCCATCTATCGGTTTTTATTTTTTACATAACTTACAATTTATGTTGTCATGTATTTCCATGCTACAAATTAATTTTTCAAATATAAAGGTGATGCGAATGTTGGTATATAAATAAGTTAAATTTAATCAATGATTTACAAGTAAAAGCCGACAGGTGTTTGACAATTTCATATTTTACAAGTAGCTAAAAATTAACAATGAATACATGTGACTGTAAAAATAATATTACATAATGTCTCTGTTTATTTGCTAATAGCATAGTAAGAACATTATTATGAACTAGCCGTTGTTCGCAGGTTCACCTTTTTTTTTTTGTTTTCCGTGCGGAAATCCCCTCGGATACCACCTGTCGGTGGCATGTCGGACTCGAACCGACTAAAACCGCACGCCGTCTCGGGTACTAATAGCCGGGGAACCAGGTACCTATACCCTAGAAAGGAAGTCCCTGGTGCCCCGACATACCTCGGGTCATCTACAGACGAGTAGACGGCCGCAGCTTGCTCGCAGAAGGAGACGGCAGAGTTCCACGCACTCTTGCTCTGCACTCCCACTCCGATGGCCGCCACGAGGTCTCGCCTCTGCTCAACCCACGCCGGACACTCTCACTCTCTCCACACACTGCCAGCGTGTGGAGAGCCGTGTCCACGGTCTGGCCATCGCAGTGGTGGCACTCAGGCGTTGGCTCCTTGCGGATCAGACACAGGTGATCCGCGAAACATCCTTTCCCAGTGATCACCTGCGTCAGTCGGTATGAGAGGGTCCCGTGACGCCTCTGGAGCCAATCCTCCATAACGGGTCTTACCGCCGCGATGACGGCGTGCCCGTCGCAGGTTCACCTACGTTTATGATCATTGTTACTACTAAAGGTCGTCGTAGAGACATGTTAAGCCCCTCTTAATGAATATTTTATACAATCCAAATAAATTAAATATTAAAATCTGAGCTATAGTTCCAGAGATACTTTCTATAAATTTTATTAATAAAAATGTAACATTACATATAACATGCCGTGTGATGACGGCTTAAGAATACTGAGTGTCACCACCCCTATTCATCCCGTGGGTGGACTTCCGATCAAAGGTCGTGGGTTCAAATCCTGACCAGAACACTACCGATGTGAACCCACTCCTACCACAAGCAATTTAGCTTAGCTGGAGGGGTTAACGCCAATACTAGTAATTTCGGTTGCTATTAAACCTTTCAAAAACTTTAGTTTATTATAATTACATGTTACCTCTTCACATTCTTTTAAATCATAGATAATAATATTTTTATAAAACATCATACCCTGTAATTTACAATGACTTGTTAACGGTTGAGCAAATCCCGCTTAAAGGAAAGAAAATGTAAAGAACAATGTCAAAGACAACGTTTACAAAATTGTTTGAAGCCACAAAAACATTTACGGTCTTATTATTCAAGTGTGAGGAGAACACTTGAAGCGAAAAGGTCGTTAAATTTCATAGATTATAAAGCAGATAGCGTAAACGAAACCGCCTCTCCTCATTTGTATTTTTATACTTGAAAGTTAAATTGACGCTGCCCACAATATGGCGGCCTATTTTCAAATAAAAGCAAAGGTTTAATTAACACAAAATTTTACAGAGTATTAAAA